GTATTATTGGTACAGATTTTCTTAAATATTTTAATGGTAATATAGATTATAGTTCTAAGATAATGACTCTTTGCGGTCACCAAGTTCCTATTATATTTCATCAGCCGACGTACACCGTTCCAGCACGCTCGGAAGCAGTCATTGAATGCGCTATATCAAACTACTCGCTCGAGATTTATCAGAATAATGAAGCATTAGTTCTAGATCACACCTTAAGCAAGGGTATTTACGTCGCGAATTGCATAGTATCAGTAAAACCAAATAAAAAGATTAACATCACCGTTTTGAATACGACTGATACAGACATAGAGATTAAAGATTATTCCGTAGAACTAACACCTATCGACTACAATAATTCTATTTCCTGCGATAATTCAATATCTAGTAAATCTTTGTATTCCATCTCGATTTCCAAATCTGATCGAATGAATCGAGTGTTGAATCTTTTACGCCGCTCTCATCTCAACGATGAAGAAAAGAAAGGACTTCTCGATTGCTGTTCCGATTATACGGATATCTTTCACCTCGAAGGTGAGCCCCTCTCTTTTATGAATGGCATCCAACACTCCACAGATACGGGTAACGCACCCCCAGTTCACGTAAAATCGTATCGCTTTCCCGAGTGTCACAAGGAAGAAGTTGATACACAAATTCGCAAAATGCTAAATCAGAATATAATTCGTCCCTCTGTTTCGCCGTGGAGCACCCCGGTATGGGTAGTTCCGATAAAATTAGACGCTTCTGACAGGAAAAAATGGAGAATAGTCATTGATTATCGTCGCCTTAATGATATCACGGTTTCAGAAAGTTATCCGCTGCCTCTTATCACTGATATCTTAGACCAATTAGGCCATTCGAAATATTTTACAACTCTTGATCTTGCTAGCGGTTTCCACCAGATAAAGATGGATGCTAAATAAGGATGCCCCAAAAACGGGATTTACTATAAGTACTAACTCGAGCATGTCTGGACACTATGAATTTACTAGAATGCCCTTTGGTTTGAAAAATGGCCCCTAAACCTTCCAGCGACTCATGAATACTATCTTATCAGGACTACAAGGCCTACACTGCTATTTATATCCAGATGATTGCATAAATTATAGTCAAAATTTAAATCAATATATGGAAAAGTTTAAATAAGTGTTCGATAAGGTCCGCGAATACAATTTAAAATTGCAACCAGACAAGTGCGAATTCTTAAGAGATGAAGTAACTTATCTTGGTCATATTATTACCGATAAAGGTGTCTCTCCAAATCCAGACAAGGTAAAAGCAGTATCGCAATTCCCAATTCCTAAGAGTCCTAAAGAAATTAAATCCTTCCTAGGCCTAATAGGCTATTATCGCCGATTTATTGATAATTTTTCCAAATTAACGAAACCACTTACTTCTATATTAAAAAAGGACGCTACTTTCCACTGGTCTCTAGAACAACAAACCGCTTTCGATATTTTAAAGGAAAACTAATCACTGCTCCGCTGCTCCAATACCCAGACTTCTCTCAGCCGTTCATAGTAACCACAGACGCAAGTAATTACGCCGTGGGTGCAGTTCTATCCCAAGGTCCTGTCGGCAAGGACAAGCCGATAGCTTATGCATCGCGCACTTTAAATCGTGCCGAAGGCAATTATTCAACTACCGAAAAGAACTCCTAGCCATTTTATTCGCAGTCAAAACATTTCGCCCTTACCTCTACGGTAATAAGTTTAAAATAGTTACCGATCATAGACCATTAGTATGGCTATTTAATGTCAAAGATCCAGGCAGTAGACTCATTCTTTGGCGCCTAAAACTTGAGGAATATGATTACGAAATCGTTTATAAACAAGGCCGTTTAAACTCCAATGCTGATGCGTTATCTCGCTGTCCCGTTAATGTTATAGACATTAACACTTTAAATAATTCTAGTTATGAAAAATATTTTAAAGAGCAATTCACTAATAAAACTTCTATTTCAAATACAACAATTATGGAATGCACTCAAGGATTACATTTATCTAAGTTAAAACATATTGCGTGTCCTGTCTCTTTAGATTTCGACTCATCTATACCTCACTGTGAAGAAATTTTATAGCAATTAGATAAGCCGGAGGAAATGCTAAATTCCGAACGCGAATCTTTTACAGTTCAATGTGTGAAAGATAGGAATAAATACTACTATTTTTTATATACTAAGGTTCGTCATTATGAAGAAACTAAATTTAAATTACTACCTTGTTTAATACAAGTTAATTTCCAATTTTACTATTTCGCTCAAAATACTTTTAATTTTATATTTTACTAATTAATTTTTGTATAATTTTATTGCTTAGTTTTAAATTGATTATTTCTTGAATTTTACTTGTCTCTTTTGTATCGCTTAGTTAGTTAACGAATAATACTATTGTATCTTTATGTAGAATTTAATAGTTCGAAAGTTTTTATATTGTTATGAGATTGATTTGCAATATTTTACTACAATTTTTAATTTCCTATCTTCATATTTTGTAATGCCTCCGACCTCTAATCGCTTTTCTATTTCGAATCTTCGCTTTATCTTAATTTAGAAAAAGCTCAGTCAAAAGGGGGGAGCTGTTATATCCCTTTTTATAAGGCAATAAAACAGTAGTAAGTATTTATTTAATCACACGGTACTTTTCCTTAATATAGCCATAGTCAGCAATTATATTGTTCCTTTCCATGTTCGTTTTAATTCCATTTTTAATGATCAGTTAGACTCAGAGCCCCGGGTAGATCGGACATAGATTCGGAGACTATATTATATATACTATATTAGAGTTCGGAAGTCAAGGACTATATTAATTTGGTGTGTGAACTTTTGCAATAAACCTTTAGGTTTATTTGTTGTTTCTTTTTTAAAAAGTCAAACGGGATCGGCCTCCTAACAGTGCGCAGCTTAAAGATCGCGTGCAACGCATTAACAAAAACCTGCAGCAGTGGGCTCTTGAGGTGGAGAAGCTGGTGCGAAAAGCATACCGGTCTGTACCTGCGCTCATTGAAGGAAACCTGGTGCAGACATTCATCGACGGCATCCGCGACCTTGAAGTCAGCGCTGGTGTGAGGCTCGGGCACCACGAAACGCTTAAGGACGCCTTGGCCAATGCGCTGGAGGTGGAAGCTGTGCGGCAGGATCATCGTTCTCATCGTGTCGGGGAGGTTGCAGCAGCTACAGTTTGCAACTCCAATAAAGGATACAGCCCCAGGTGCTATGGCTGTGGGGAAAGGGGCCATCTTCGATCCAGCTGACCTAAGCGAACCCTAGAAAGGGAAGGTGAAAGATCTCAGGAGGGTAGTGCGGCCAACAGCACCTCCCAGCAGCAGCGAAAATGGAAACGAGTAAAAGCTAAAACTGCGGGGCCGGTGCTGGCTGATGTTAAAAGAGCCCCAAGGATCTCGATCTCACAAACCCATGATGGGAACATCCTAATCATCAAGGGCAAGATCACGGGATGCCATGTAAACTGACCATAGACACTAGAGCCTCTCGTACGGTTGTTAGTTCCCAACTTATAAGTCAGTTCCTTGGGGATTTCGCATACAACCGAGAACGCATTAATTTGTTAACAGCCACCGGTCAGCGTATACCCGTCCGTAGAGAGGAGATGGAGTTGAAGCTAGGCAACATGATCTACCTGCATAATGTCATCGTGGCTGATATAATGGACGACTGCATCTTGGGCCTAGACTTCATGAGAAAGAATTGTTGTGAGATCGATGTTAAGCAAGCTTTTTTTAAATGTGGACAGGAGGAACTTGTGAGGAAGTGGATTGGCTGCGTCGGTACCAATATCTATCGAGTGGGACCCCCAGTAAGGATGCACAAACAAGAGTGACCACACTTTTAGAAGACTGTCGCAGCGTTCTCTCCCCGAATGAAATGGTCAAGGCGAGGAAGTTGTTACTCGAGTACGCCGATGAATTCTCGTCAAACGATGCTGACATAGGGAAGACCAGCTTAGTTCAACACAAAACAAACACAGGAAAAGAGTTGCCTATCCGTCAGCGACCAAGAAGATTGCCGGTAGCACGTGAAAAAGAAGTGGAAACCATGATTGAGGGAATGGTGAAGAATAGTGGTATTGAACCTTCATCTAGTCCATGGTGTTCATCCGTGGTGCTGGTAAAGAAGAAGGATGGCAGCATGCGGTTTTGTGTTGACTACCGCCGTCTGAACGACGTTACGAAGAAGGACAGCTATCCCTTGCCAAGAATTGATGACACGCTGGACATGCTTACAGGAGTAAAGTAGAGATGATCATGTCATCATGAAATGACAACGAAAAAATCATCAATGCTTTTAAATCATTTCTTGAATCAACGATAGGTACTGGCTGAAGTCACAGAACTTACAAGTTTCGATAAAATGACCGGCGCGGGGGTGCACAGCACACTGCACGTAACGGCAACAAACAAAGCTTTTACTTGCGTTGTTTACGTTTGCGCGAGAAATACACGGCAAATTACGAATGCTATTTTATCTAGCATTTAGTATCGCGTGAATCATTGTTTTGGTTAGACAAAGACGACCAACCACGCGTACGAAATACGTTGTGTAATGTGTTCTCGCTATAATTGGCTTTTTGATACTTTATAGTGAATTTAGTTTAGTTAAGGTACCTATATCATTGATTTTAAAAGCAAGTTTACACATTTAGCGTTTAGGTACTTACTTAGTACTTTGTGTACATTGTAAAAAAAACTTTGTGTATAGTAACGTTCTACAGTAGGTGGACTTATTTATTATATTTTTCTATCTTATAGACAAGAAAGGTTTAGTGCTATGTTCTCAGTTTGTATCTAAATATTCAAAAATGGCTTCAACTGTAAGAAAAACATCCAACGTATGGGTACATTTTGACATTGAATCTGTTGGTGAAAAAACAGCAGTATGTAAATTGTGCAGGGTAAAATTATCCTATAAAACTTCCTCAACAAATTTAAAAAAACATATTTTAAGAAAACACCCTTCGGTTGAAATTCAAGATGTACGAAGGAATATGATGCACCAACACATTTCAGAACAACCTTTGGAACAGGAAGCTGGCCCTTCTAATCTAGCAGGATCCCAAAACCTTTCGTCTGTTGTTGCTTCTTCTGCTTGTGACTCAGCCGAGGGTCATCCATTGCCACAACCACGCGTTATTCAGCAGGCTTTAGTTCGTCAACCTACAATTGCTCAATTCACTCAGAGAAAAAAAATTACACCATCTGAACAGGAAAGATTAAATAAACTGCTAATGAAATTGTTCACACTACATTTTCAACCTTTCAGCATTGTGGAAGACAAGGGCTTTGTTGAATTTGTTCATGGTTTAAATCCCATTTACCAACAACCTAGTCGTAAGTACCTTTCAAACACTTTACTGCCATCAATGTACGAGCAAGTTTTGAATGAAACTAAAATAAAACTTACTGAAGAAGCAACAAGTGTATGCCTTACTACCGACTGCTGGACATCAAAAGCAAATGAGTCATGTATGGCCATAACATATCATTATATCGACCAAAACTACATTTTGAAGTCGCTTCTCCTGCAGTGTGAAGTACTCCATGGACATTATACCGCCATAAACTTAGCAGGTCAATTAAGGACATGTGCATCGACTTTGAACATTACAGGCAAAATAACCATTGTTGTGTCTGACAACGCGAGTAATATAGTTTCCGCTATCACGAGTGAGCAGAATTGGCGCCATTTTGGATGTTAATTATCAGGAGTGCGTTAGACGTTGAAAATTTGCAACAGACGATCACCAAAGTGAAGACCATTGTAGCTTTTTACAAACGTAGCGCTTTGGCCACAGAAAAGTTTGTAAAATATCAAGTACAACAATCAGAGGCGAAAACAGCAAAAAAACTTACTCAATCTGTGGAAACTCGGTGGAACTCTGAATTTCATATGCTGCAGCGGTTTGCTGAACTTAGAGAGGCTGTAAATCTTTGTGGGTAGGAGTGAAATAAGTAACACATGTTTTTGATCAGTCTCGCGTAATTTATATTTTAAAAATAGAAATTAGGATATTTTAATGTGTAAAATATATATGTAATAATCATCTGTTTACCAGCCTTGATTCCTTGATATATTTTTTCCTTAATTTGCTAACACTACACGAAACCATGGAAGCCCTCAAAGGATCACTGTCAGCCATGTCAGAACTCTTCAATACTCGTATGAATGAGTTTCAGCAGGACTTAAATAAGACTAGTCCAACTGTGACCTCAAATATATTCTGTACTCTCAACGGAGTTCGCAACATTCAGAAAGTTTATCTTGTCCGCTCTTGAAACTGTTCAAAAATAGGTTGAATTTCTTGGGAGAGAGATCGACCGCTTGGAGATAAGACGGCGTCGTAAGATTCTGCTGCTTCATGGGATTCCCGAGGACAAGTCCGAGGATACATCTTCAATGGCTTCTAACCTAATTATGGACAAGCTCAAGATTCCCAATGTGTCTAACGATTCTTTTAGTCGCTGCCATCGCCTTGGACGTCCGATAGAAAAGAAGCCAAGACCAGTTCTTGTAAAGTTCCAGAATGTCCGAGTCCGTGATCAAGTTTAGTTCTCAAAAACAAAACTGAAAGACACGGGTGTAACTATGTCCGAGTTTTTAATAAAAGATCGTCACAAGATGTTCATGGTGGCCAGGCAGAAGTTTGGCATAAGTAATTGCTGGACTAGGGATGGTTATATTCATATTATCGCTTATGACGGTTCGCGCCATCAAGTTGAATCCCTCGCTGAGCTCGAAGTCGTCCCAGTGGCACCAGCTGCTGCTACCCAAGCACAGAAGGCAGTCGCTGGAACTAATAGATCTACTGATAAAGTAGTTCAGCGCTCCAAGAGGATAGTGAAGAAATGATAGTTATGTGGTATAGGACCTTTAGTTCTCTTCAATAAACTGTATGTATTGTCTTTTATCACATTATGATTTCTGTCAATATTTCAGTGTCTCTGCATTGTGCTTTTTGCTAACCTTATTTCTTTTTTTACCAGTCTTATGTTAAGTGTTAAATAAGATATGAGTTAATTACTCCATATATATAATTAGTCTAGTAGTTATATATATACTCGTATATGAGTTAATTAGTCCCTGCATTGTCTTTCGATAACCTTAATTCTTTTATACCAGTCTAATGTTGAGTGTTAAATAAGATGTGAGTTAATTAGCAAATTAGTCGTTATGGATCCCTATTATATACGAAGTATTATCTATCTACATCACTTTGAAACTTAGACTTTGTCTATTGTTTTGATTTTGTTGTTCTAAGTTAAGTTATTTTAACAATGTAGGTATTTGATATTGATACTGATAATTATTATAACTGTTATCTTAGGTTTCGACCACAGATTAATAAATTTTTGTTTCTACAATTACGCAAAGAGTATATAATCACTATGTTATTTACCTTAGAGAAATATCCTCTCATTACAGAGTAGGTATTAAATTTAAATGCTCTTGGTGTACTAACATGGCGTAGACAGAGAAACCTATAGACTAATGATCGGCGTGGCCTCGAGTGAGAAAGGACGATAACGAATTTTTAGGTTATACAATAATCTTTATGACTTTTAAACACATTTAGATAAAAATTTTAATTGTTCTAAGAACTGAAATGAACAAGATTCACCAATCTTAGGCTTACAAAACACTTTTTTCTCACTTAAACCAACTTGTAAACTCCTTAAATCGCTACGCTTTTAAAGTTGTTTAGCAAACTGTAGAGTTTGCTAAACAACTTTTCAACAAGAATTTGTCTATAGGTTTCTCTGTTTACGTAACATGGAGATTTGTTTACTTGTATTTTTTTATGCAAAGGTATCCATGCTTATGCGGCCTTGTCGGACGTGTACTTTGTTTACATTATTGCAAGCATAAAAGTGGTTTTGACTTAATTTTTAATATATACTCACAAATGACTCCTAACGTACTACTCACAGTACATAATTCTATTTAATATCAGTGTCTGTGATTTCAGTTATTTCTCATAAGCACCTTGTGTTATATTTTTTTTTTATTTTTTTTTGTTCAATCAAATATGATCTGAATGGCATATGATAGTACCATTTTTTTTAAAATATTTGCATTATTTTCTATTCTGTAAATGCTGGTAGGTAGTAAATTTAACTAAAAGGTTTAGTTTATAATTTTTATAGTTATTAGTATTTTTTTTAATAATTTACAGTTGTTTGATTTTTTTTAAATATTTTTGTAAGGATAACATGTCTTTTGGTGAAAGTGATCATATTCAAAGCTCCTCTTTCTTTTCAGTATCTGATGTATTAAGTAATGACGACCGTTTTGAGAGCATTCCTCCATTAAAAAAGACCCTTGACTCCCATTTTTCTCAAGCTATCAAAAATTTCAATATAGTCCACATAAATACATAGAGTATTGCGGCTCACTATCCCGATATGTTAGGTAGTTTTGAAAGTGATAATGTTCACGCAATTCTCGTTTCAGAGTCATGGTTAAAGCCATGTCTTCCTTCTATATCCTATTCCATTAAAGGATTCCAGTTAAAACGCAACGACCGAACTGCGCGAGGTGGTGGTGATGTTGCCATTTACATTCGTGCTCATATTCCTTTTTGCTATTGTTTGTTTATCATCTCCATCTCAAGCTGAGAACGAAGCAGAATACTTATTTGTTGAAGTACTTCTGTCGCACAACAAATTACTTCTCGAAGTTTTTTATAGTCCTTCTTCCACAGTGGACTATTTTACTACTTTGGATAACCTAATTGAAGAGTTAACTCCATTATATACACATACAGTGCTAATGGGCGACTTTAATACTTGCCTTCTCAAGAATGATGCCCGATCTCTCCGGCTTAGCCCCTTATAGAAGCAGCCAATTTAAATATCCTTCCTCTCTCTGAAACTAATTTTTTCCCTAACTGTATCCCGTCCCTCCTTGATTTGGTTATCGTTTCTTCTCTTGACCATGTTGATAGTTTTGGTCAATGTGTTGCAAATGCTTTTTCGTATCATGATCTCCTGTTTCTATCTTATAAAATAAGACCACCCAGAGCCAAATCAAGGATACTTCTGCAGCGTAATTTTGAGAAAATGGATTTGGATAAGCTTCAAAAAGACGCTGCTAATATGGACTGGAGCGTTATAATGAAGGCTTGTGATGTTGACGAACAGGTAGCATTGTTTAATTCACTTCTTGTTCATCTTTATGATGCTCATGCTCCTGTCCGCCCAGTGCGAATACGTCATCCTCCAGCTCCGTGGTTGACTGAAGATCTTAAAAGATTAATCTGCAGGAAGAATAATGCAAAGTCGAGTTACAAGTCAGATCCTAAGAATGACAGGATTCGGGAGAAGTACAGACTCCTGCGAAATCAATGCAACAAGATGTGTAGAGATTTACGACGCCGCCACATCCATAAATCAGTACAAAACGAAGATCCATGTCGTATTTGGAACTTCTTAAAGTCTATTGGAGTTGGGAAAACTCGTTCATGTCCTGTTCCAAATAACGTGGATTTAAATTTGCTTAATCAGCATTTTTCTTCCGTTTCTTGCCTGAACAATATGGCAAAATCAACAACACTTACTTGCGACTTTCAGCGTTTCCCACTCCTGACTTTTCTCCATTTGTGTTTAGGCAATTTGCAGATTGTGATGTTAGGAAACACATACTCTCTATCCATTCCGACGCTGTCGGAAGTGATGACGTCAGTCGTAAAATGATCATTCCCTTGTTGGACTTTTTAACACCTATTATAACCCATATCTTAAATTTTTCCATAACCTCATCTTCTTTCCCTTCCCAATGGAAGAACGCTCAAATCATACCTTTACCTAAAAAAACAAATCCTGCAAGTTTTTCTGAATATCGTCCTATTTCAATTCTTCCTTTCCTTTCCAAAGTTTTAGAACGCCTTGTCCAACAACAAATTAATTCCTTTTGTTTAAGAAATAGCATCCTTAGTCCTCTCCAATCTGGCTTTAGATCTGGTCATAGTACGACTACGGCGTTATTAAAAATCACCGACGACATTCGTCACGGTATGGAGAATCATCAAGTCACAGTATTGGTGTTGCTGGATTTCAGCAATGCCTTTAATACTGTTGATCATGATATCCTGTTAAGAATTCTGCGTTCTTTTAACATATCTCCAACTGCAATTTCCTGGTTTCATAGTTATTTGCACGGGCGCCGGCAACGTATTCGTGTCCAAGATATACTTTCTTCGTGGCTTGATACCGTAGCTGGCGTTCTACAAAGTAGGGTCTTATCTCCTCTTTTATTCGCAATCTTTATTAATACGATTACATCCCAAATATCTTCTCTCTACCACTTGTATGCAGATGACCTTCAAATATATTTACAAACAACCATCGAAGATCTTGCCAAAGCTGTTGAATGTATCAACAAGGATCTGGCTTTTATTCTCGACTGGACACGATCTTATGGGTTGACGGTTAACCCTTCAAAATCGCAAGCTATAATTATTGGGAGTTCAAGAACTATTTCCAAAATTAAAAAATGTCAAATTCAACTCGTTGTATTTAATGGTATTCTTATTCCATATAATGAAGTAGTTAAAAATTTAGGTATCCTTTTGGATTCCAGTCTGTCTTGGACACCCCAAATTAATGCAGTGAGCCGAAAAATGTTTGCGGCTTATGCTTCACTCCGAAGGCTTAACTATTTTTTACCCATTTCCACCAAAGTTACGCTTGCACAATCTTT